CTTTTCAGCTTGCTGGCAGGCAGCCAAGTTTTTCACGGAAAAACTAGCAAAGCTCTCGCGGAAAATCCTAGGTGCATCCGGGTCATTCGGCGTCGGATAAACCCTTTTCTTCAGCGCGCGTGATACTAGGCTATCAGCGGGCTCGAAGAGGTGTAGCGGCGTGTTGCGGAGCGTCTAGTCGTAAGAGCGAGCGAGACAGACATATAGTTGGAATGCTATAGGCAGAGTGGGACGCTGCGGTGAAGGTCAACTGATAGCGTACACAGTATAATACTGGTGCAGAAGTATCAGTGAAATAAAAATATCAGTTATGATGGATTTTTGTTAACAAAGTTTAAGAGAATAAAAATATTTCAGCTTAGTCCGAATGATCTGTTAAATTATCGTTTGGGTAAATCAAATAATTTGGCTTCTACTAAATCCTGAACCTGTTTTAGTTCTGTTGTTTGCAAAGTTCACTCTCTGCATTCATGCACTGCTCTAGGCATTATTTAACCACAAAAGCGACAGCGCGCTATGTAGGAATGAGAGAGAAGTACCAGCACGTGCTTCCTTTCGTAATCCTCTTTTTGCCTCCTCGCGCCACTGCCGCTCCGATATTACATCTCATTGTGGGAATTTGTTTCGTGAGAAATAACCGTTATATATTTTTTTATTTAGTTGCGTTTAGTTTGCTTTTTGTTTTATTTGAAAACTTCCTGTGTTTTATTTTTGGATTTTTATGCAAATTCGATGAAATTAATGAGCCGTTCAAACTGTACGTTCTCGCGCGGTGTCGAATTCGATTTTAATGGTGTCTCTTTAATTAGTTTTTTTTTTCCATATTTTAATTAGACAACGGTTAGAATTTTTGATTATGTATAGCTTACGATATTTCGAGAGTATACGTAAATAAAAAATAATATCTACATACACATTTTATAATAATGCTGATATTTTTGTTTTACTGGGAAAATTAAAATTATTGATATTTAAATATAAACAAAAATTCTATGCAAATCACACAGCTTATTCATTTCTGACCAAAATGTATTCAATATTTTTTATAGTTTTACCTACTTCGCTTAAGTCATCGCGATTCAATTACTGAATTAGTTAGGATTGAGCATAACTTTGGTCTAAAAAAAAACAGCCCAGCATTGTTTTTCATTTATTTATTTATAATCAGGCTACATAGGCCCATAGATAAAATACCTTTAAGTCTATCATATATACAGAAATAAAACATGTTGTTAGTAAATACAATTATTAACTATGCTAGTAAACACCTAATTTTAAAAATAGCATAAATAGAGATATACCATTACATATCTTTTGAAACCATTGTCGTGTTGTAAATGATTGGGATACCAATCTTGTGGCTATATCTTCATCAGCCTATTAATTCTCCACTGAGAGAGTGCAGGCCTTTCCTAAGAACAGAATCCCAAAAAGAAGAACAGGATATTAACCACCGTGCGCTGCTTACTACTGCAAAAGCCAGGCACAGAAGTCAAATCTACGATTTTTTGATAATTCCATCCAGAGAGAATTATTCCATAGAATTAATTTTGTAAACATTGATTATCTTGTAACCAAGAAGTTTTTGAAACGACAGACAGATTTATCTTAAAGTAATACCTGAACTTTGATAATTTTAGGTGAAGATAAAAAGCTTCCATATAATTTACACTCCCGTAAAACTGTTCCCCAACACCACAAGTTGTCAAGTTATTATTTGCTACGGCGATATCAAGAAGTACTGAACTATGTATTCCTCGAAACTGGTGTAGATTCTGGCACGATTCTCTAATTTTAAAACTAAATTTATCGTCAGTCTCTTCTTTTCATTCTGTATAGAGAATGACAACGATACATTGTCAAATTTAAGTTTGGGCTTAGAACCCAGCCAGAATCGACACCGTAACACTGTTCCCCAACACCACAAGTTGTCAAGTTATTATTTGCTACGGCGATATCAAGAAGTGCTGAACTATGTATTCCTCGAAATTGGTGTCTATGCTGGCATGATTCTCTAAACTTAAAACTAAATTTAACGTTAATCTCTTCTTTTCATTCTGTATAGAGAATGACAACGATACATTGTCAAATTTAAGTTTGGGCTTAGAACCCAGCCAGAATCGACACCGTAACACTGTTCCCGAACACCACAAGTTGTCAAGTTATTATTTGCTACGGCGATATCAAGAAGTGCTGAACTATGTATTCCTCGAAATTGGTGTCTATGCTGGCATGATTCTCTAAACTTAAAACTAAATTTAACGTTAGTCTCTTCTTTTCATTCTGTTTAGAGAATGACAACGATACATTGTTAAATTTAAGTTTGGGCTTAGAACCCAGCCAGAATCGACACCGTAACACTGTTCCCCAACACCACAAGTTGTCAAGTTATTATTTGCTACGGCGATATCAAGAAGTGCTGAACTATGTATTCCTCGAAATTGGTGTCTATGCTGGCATGATTCTCTAAACTTAAAACTAAATTTAACGTCTGTCTCTTCTTTTCATTCTGTTTAGAGAATGACAACGATACATTGTCAAATTTAAGTTTGGGCTTAGAACCCAGCCAGAATCGACACCGTAACACTGTTCCCCAACACCACAAGTTGTCAAGTTATTATTTGCTACGGCGATATCAAGAAGTGCTGAACTATGTATTCCTCGAAATTGGTGTCTATGCTGGCATGATTCTCTAAACTTAAAACTAAATTTAACGTCAGTCTCTTCTTTTCATTCTGTTTAGAGAATGACAACGATACATTGTCAAATTTAAGTTTGGGCTTAGAACCCAGCCAGAATCGACACCGTAAAACTGTTCCCGAACACCACAAGTTGTCAAGTTATTATTTGCTACGGCGATATCAAGAAGTGCTGAACTATGTATTCCTTGAAACTGGTGTCGATTCTGGCACGATTCTCTAATTTCTAAACTAAATTTATCGTCAGTCTCTTCTTTTCATTCTGTATAGAGAATGACAAGGATATATTGTTGTCAAATTTAAGTTTGGGTTTAGAACCCTGCCAGAATCGACACCATTTTATTATCATTTTGTCACCTTGTGAATTTCTTAGTTCATCGAGTAAAACAAAACAAAGCAGATATAACATTAACATTGCCATTAGGTGTGTGCCAGTTGAATAACTGGCTGATATTTTGACAATAAATAATGAAATTAATTTCGTTGAAATTAAAAAGAAGCCAAAATTAAAACTGGAAATAGAAATAATCATAATCGGGAATCCTTAATGAAGCAAGATAAGAAGAGTCAGTTGGACAAAATTCAAAGTTTTGGATAACTTGACCTGTTCTTGATTTTACATCTTATTAAACTTAGCTGGATACATTAGAATGAAAGATTTGAGTAGGTTTTTATAATGTTTACACTGTAGTAGTTTACTGTTACAAAATACTCTTTTCCAAAATACTATAGTATTTGTATAGGCAGATAGTTGTAAATGCAAACTTGTTAATAGACATATCTGCAGCGGCTAGCAAAAGAGCCATTGATGAAGGACGAACGCGCAAACATTGTACCTAGGCAGAACATTTAACTTGAAACGCAATTTCTTTTAAAAATTCAAATGACGAACAACAATATTTTTTCCCGCGTTAAAGTGTTCATTTGTTTTTTTATCAATAAACAGCTTTCTATTCGCAAGCCAGTTCGAAATTTAAACGAAACCTTTGATAAGTTAGTCCCTTGGTCATCTGTTTTTTTGACAATAAACAGCTTTCTGTTCGCAAGCCAGTTCGAAATTTAAATGAAACCTTTGATAAGTTACTCCTTGGTTGCCACGTTTCGGAGTAAAAGTTCTTTCCATTTTTAAATTACTCGACAGATATGAGTTTACTATGTAATTTATTTGGCCGCGAAACCACGACAGATATGGATTTTCATACAACTTTTGCCGACCGCTGCTCGCGTGTATTTGGCTGTACAGCAATTTAGATTTATCTCGAAAAAGCTTGTCTTAATAATACTCAAATTTCCTAGCATGTTTGAGAAAAAGATAATATCTACTTAATGCTGGTGGCATTAATTAGCATTAGTTGCACATTCGCTCGTTAGAGACTAGACTACCTAAGCTTTTTTTTCTCATTCAACGGTCGAAACGGATCATCGGCTGTTATTTAACGAACTTAATAAATTACAATTTAAATTAACCCGCTGACTTATAACCGGTTGTTGGTTCATAACCAATTTAAACTGGACTCCTGATAGCTGTGAATCTTCGTGGGATAGGATGACTATATTTTTTATAGTCCTACATTTTTTATATTCAACTTCTATTAGTAAATACCAATCCAATGTTCAGATCTCCTGATATTAGTGACTTTACTTAAGATTTTTTCAGCAGTTAATCGTCTATACAATTGATATTGTAGGATTTTCTTAGATTTTTGGCTTTCATAGTTCGAAATATCTACTTAGATAATGACAGACTTGTAAGTTTTCATCTCAGTATTTACTTTTTAATGATATAAAAAGAAACTTATTAAAAGCTCTTATAAACCTGAGTAACTATGTCATGGTAAGATTTATTACAACATAAGTAATTGGGTGTAATTGTGAGTTAGGTCCCGCTAAAGCTGTTAGTTACACTAGAAGTAATCAACAGCAACCTTGAGAACATAAATTATCAAAACTGAAATAGAATTAAGGGAATACCAGGTAGCTACATTATTTATTCATACATATTTCATGACAGTAAAATAATGCGGCTATTTTATTGATAGAGATTTTCCCATTAACAGCAAACGTCATTAAGTATATATAGGAATTTCTTGCAATCAGTGGAAGCATCCTGTAATTGTGAAATGTCGTGACGAGAACCCTATTGTTTAACACTTATTCCAATAAGACGCAATGAAAAAAAAATATTTAGCCCAACTCTCATAGTGAAACGACCATTCTCCTTCATACTTCAACGTGCATGTTAATAACGTATTCAATTAACACATTCAAAAACATGTGCGCCGCACGTGTTACTCGTTGCAGGCGCGACGTCATACTGTTGTCATCCCGCAGACGCGGCGCAGGCGGCCATGACGGTCGGCGTGGCGAACGTGCTCTGCGACGACCGCCCCACGCCCCTAGCGTGGCCCGCGCCATCCGCCGCGCCCCCCGCACCCCTCTGGCAGTACCCCACCGGTAAGAGTGAAACCACACCTCCTACACTCTCATGCTCGCCTGGTAGATACGCGCCAACTGCATTGCGAGACCGCCGCGCGTACATCCCGCCTTTAACGTAACAACCGACACCTCCGGTGTCATGCTGCTTTGGTAGCGGCATTGCAACTGGTACCCGTCCCGGTCAATAGTCGGTGACCGGTCGCGGTAATACGGACGCTTTGGATAGGTTCGAATCGCCGTAGTTGTGGGAGTTGAGAGCGCACCGTTTCCGTGCAATCGGATTGCGATGACGCGTTCGCGCGCAGCTACTTACTTGGCGCCATGTTTTTTTGCTTGTTTTTTTTTATTGTCTAAGCGCCGTGTTTCATTGTCATAGGCACATTACGATTGATTGTATGTAAGGCTGATGGGAGATTTATTTTGTTGGACTCCTTGTTGTCCAGCAAAGACAAATTGCGTTTTGCTTCATTTCTATTAGTAAAATTATTTGCAAAATAATCAAATAGCAGATCTTTTCAATGTTTTTTCCCTGGGATCAGTCATAGGTAGGAAAGTACACCCATTGACGTCTACAAATACCCACTGTTAAGTCTGACATCCAAAAGCATGATGGCAAACATTTATATCATTATCAATTAAATTAATACTGTAAAATATTATAATAAAAAATACCAATTAATAACTACCTATTTTATCTTTTGACCTATTTTCGTTTAATAATAGTTGAACGGTAATAAATAAACACGTACCTACCTACCAACAACACAAACCTATTCTTGAAAGTTATACTAAACTAAAAAAAATCCTCTTGAAAGTTAGATTAAAATTAAAATAGTTCAAAAATCTATTTAAAGAAAAACTCCAATAGGTTATTATACAACTGCTGATATACTTAAAGTCAAAAATGATAACATATTTTTGGTGCGATGTAATTCAATGCCGTTTATTAAGTAAGACCTCATCAGTCAAACCAAAAGTTGTGGGCTTTATTTTTAGACTCTGAAGTATCCATTTGCTGTTTTCCTTGAACTTTATCCGCTTTTGGGCATGGAGAGCACTCAACCTATGTTACGTATATCTTAAGTGTCGCCAAGTTATTTTTTTTATCGCAGCAGTTTAGTACATTATAAAATAACGTGCTTATTTATGTTTAATTTTCCATTTATAATTTTATATTTATTCCAGAAATTAAATTGTCACAGAAAAAAAATAACCTACCCACTTGAATACCTTCAGACTATAAGCACAGAATATTAGGCTTATTTTTTCTCCTAAATGGCTTCACACGGCTTGTGCATTTAGCCAATGTCAAGTGTTAAAATGTTTACAAATTCTATAGCACTCGTGGTCAAAGTAATAAATCAAGTCAAAGTAAGTGGCAGTCAAGTCAATCCCCCTTTCCCTATGTTTCAATAAATGTGTGGGGATTTACTGGAACCTCCCCGTGGACTACTTGAGGGAACGTCGAAAGACACTTTCCGCTATTTTGTTTCACTTGCCAACACTTGTGCATGATCCCGAACACTTAGTGGTTAATAATCCACCATTATTAGACACTAACATCTGCCACAACACAATTTTTAACAAGAAAAACAAAACTGCTAAAGTGACGCTTCCCGATCCCGCTAAAAAGTCCAAAAGCTTATATATATACTATGCTATAAGCACTGTGGCGGCTGGTCTTACCTACCTACCTCATAACTTTAATTACTACCACGTTCATTTGTATATCAAATGTATGAATGCAAAACAAAACAAGTATCTTGATAAGTATTTACTACGAAATTATTTTATTGAAATTTTATATTTTGAAACTTTCCCCATATTTGATCTGTACCTACCCCTAGCACGAACCAATATCGAATTCGTATCGTATCGTTTGCGAGTCCGAAATGTCATTGTCAAATGTGTACTGATTTTTAGTTCTCGCTACGTACTTTGTGCCGCTGCTGTTCAAGTTTCCATACAAAATTTGACATTGAAATTTCGGTTTGCAAACTATTCGAATTCGATAATGGTTCGTGCTAGGGGTACTGATGTATTTTAAAAAGAATAGATACGTATGTTGAATTTTTCGAGAAAATTTATTTGTTGAGGAAACTACTAAGTACTGGGGTCACAAGCTTTCACCTTTCATTGTCTACGGCACATATTGTTGATCGCACAGCAAAAATATATCATAAATCGTCACTCCCATTGATTTTACGAGCATTCGTGGGTGCAGGTTTTTGCTACGCTTCGATTACGACTAATGCACCCGGAACTAGTGTTACCATTAGTTTGAATTAGTCAGGACTTTAAGACTGTAAACTGGACTTTCTCCGGCTCTTTAATTTGTCCGGAGTTTTTTGTAATGCGAGCGCCTGCTACATGGCCTAGATGAATAAATGAATAAATATTTCCAACACTCACACCAATTAGCCTAACCCCAAAGTAAACACTAAAAGGGTTGTGCTATGGGATACCAGGGTAACTGATAGAATACATATCCTGTACATATATAAGTATATTTATATAGAAATACATATTAAGCATCCATGACTGGAGTACAAATGCTCGTATTCGTCACACAAACATCTGCCCCCACCGGAATTCGAACCAGGGACCTCTCGAATCGGCTACACCATGAAACCCGGCGTACAAACCGCTCGGCCACGGAGGTCGTCAAACCATACAATGCCACACCATACCACTGTAACTAAGTGAGTAATGTTTCCATTAGGTGACTGAAAGCTTACCGGACTTTTAGGTAAAGTCAGGATTTTTGTCAAGGCTTTTAAAATTTTAAATGGTCACCCTAGGTACCTGTAGGCCATATTTACGCAAGGAGAAATCGTGCCCTTAGAATTAATTTAAGGCCCGTATTACAGAATGACAACTAAGTGTTGATCTTTACTTGAGCACAGTTAGAAAGGGATGTCACTATGTGCTATATATAGCGGCATCCCTTTCTAACTATGCTCAAGACTAGGTCAATTACTGATAATCTTTCTATAATACGGGCCTTAGTCAGCTATCCCTTGCAAAACTTCTAGTGCCTAACCACTGCGCTATCTAATTCCGAACATTTTACATACCTACATACTTACTTGGGTGTCATATTATATTTCTGAGTGCTTCTTCTGAAATTCATCATCATCATCATCATCATCATCAGCCTATTAATGTCCCCACTGCTGGGGCACAGGCCTTCCCTATGGATCGAATAGGGAGATTGGGCCATGACCCACCAGGGTGCTAACGACTGCAGATGCAGCCGGGACCAACGGCTTAACGTGCCTTCCGAAGCACGGAGGAACTCGAAATAGAAGATTTTTGGCCACCCATCCAATGATCGACCACTGCGAAAGTTGATTAACTTCAACGATCGCAGCCGAACGCGCTTACCACCTGCGCCATCGAGCTCCTTAGTCTTCTTCTGAAATTCATAGGGAACTATTTTTCATTAAATTCGTTTTATCTCTTCCGGTATGCAATGCAGGACAGACCTTTTTGGTAAACGTTGGCTGTTGATTTTGTATTGACAAGACGCAAACATTTTACCTGAGGAGTTCCATGGCGCAACTGTTGCAGTTAAGCAACTTTCGCAGTGGTCGGTCATTGGATGGGTGACCAAAAATTTACTATCTCGAGCTCCTCCGTTCTTCGGAAGGCACGTTAAGCCGTTGGTCCCGGTTGCATCTGCAGTCGTTAGCACCCACCAATCCGCACTGGGCCCGTGTGGTGGGTCATGGCCCAATCTCCCTATTCCATCCATAGGGAAGGCCTGTGCCCCAGTGGAGACATTAATAGGCTGATGATGATGATGAAACATTTTACTCTGTCGTGTCGTGTTAGTTTCTTAGATTTTCACGCACATCACTCATTAAATAAAACAAGTTTTAACGGGTTACATACACTGTTTTTATTTATTTATTGAAGTTTCGCATCCTTTCGACGCATTGAAAACCTAAGAAACTAACATGACAGAGATAACTTATTTAACTACCTCTTCCCTATATTAATTTATGCGCTATTGAGTAATACAGTGCTGACCAATTATAAGTTTCAGGTAATCAAAGTCGTTATTTGGCTAAACAACTATCTGATTCAATTCAATTTCAAAAAAAATCAGAGGCGGGTAACTTACAAATTATAAAGGTTGATGTAATATTTTACCTGAAACTATAGTAATAATTCTTAACTAGATTATTGCACATAGTTGCATATGTATGTGTAATTAAAAAACTCGCCAAAATCTGATGCATCGTTCAAATATTGGACAGGGTCGCTTCTGATTCGGCAATCAAAGTAACCATTAGTTGCTGATTTGAAAAGTCAGACTTCTGTGTAAAATGTGTATCAAAATGACTTGTATTTAAAAAATATATACGCAATCGCAATGAATCGTTGATCCCGGTTTTCAAAAACGATATACATACCTAGTAAAATTTTAATTATCTTTCTAGAAGCAACCGGATCCATCAATTACTAGCAATATGCCGCCAAAACCCCTCGCTGAGCGGAACTGTCACTTCCAAATCATAAATTATATCGAAACTCAAGGAAAAAAGGAGTTAAAATCGTAAAAACTTATCGATAAACGAGACTCGAGCGACGGACAACCCTAAAATGCGGAGCTCCGCCTTCTAAGCTCCGCCTACTTGAGCGTCTCAGCCAATGAGGAAGCGCCGCGCCTCGAGGCGGTCTTTAACATCCGCCGCCTCAATTATTTTAGTGTTGGGAATTAGTGCTTTTTTTGTGTTTATATTTTTCTTATGTTGCGTTGTAATGGCGATATCGCTGTGTTACCGTTACGATTTTCATCGGCGCTCACGCGAATTCAAACGTTTACGATGCCAATCGAATGGCTTATAATTAGTCACTTGGGACTTTTTTCATTTCGCTGTGTTCATCGTTAACTATGAGAATACTTACGTATCTTTTGTTTAGATTAATAATACAATAAAATAATACCTAGAAGTTAGATTAGGCAACGATTATTAGGTGAGATATTTGTAGTTAATGATACTTCACTT